TTGATTAAGGCTAATAAACTAGATCTAGACTAAATGAGTTACACTAGATTAGCTGGTGGGTCAGGGACCCTAACTGAAAATACATTATTGAGAATCTTGACCTGAGTCGCTTAGTCACAAGTTTTTAATCGACAAAGTCTACATATCGCCTCTTTCTCTGGCTCCGTTGATCTGACCAAGGGCTACGTTCGTCAGCCAATTAGCAATTAAAATAACCCAACGGTACGGTACCGGCCAAGTTTATTCTGAAAAAAAGGTCACCAGAACACCGGCACATCTCCCGCAGAATCAGATTACATCCTGAACCTTTCGCAAAACGAACCAAACGGTAACCGTTGACGTTCCGGCAGAAACGAGACGGCTTCAGTTTTCAACCCGCGTTGTCAAACATGTTTTAAATCAGCATTATTAGAACAGCAATGGTATGCTCATTCTGCCTCTATACGACTCTCATAAGGACTGACAGTGTACAGGAGTGAAGGGAAAGATATGGGGTAAAGAAAAAAGAGAAAATTCTGAAAAAAGGGTTTTCACGAGAAAATATTGTTTAAAAAAAGTTAAATTCGAATGTCAACGCTACTTTCTGCCAAATGATACTTGATGATCAGCTTAATGAGCGTAGAGTCGAATGAGACTGATGAATGTCGGGGTGAGTACCTACTAGAATTTTCCGAATTTGGTTAGGATTGCTGAACAAATTGCTCAACTTTTTGCTCATCAGTCATCATTCGGTGAGTTTGAGCGTTGACTTGAGAGAATAACTTTTCTGATATGGAAAAGATAGCATTATGGAGTCTCCAAAATATATTGTCTCAGGCAGTAACCACAAACAAGGAATTAATTCAAATAATGACAAATTTAGCCTTACTTTACAAATGTAAGATAAGACTAAGGCTAAAGGCAAGGTGGGAATAAACTTGTCTTTATTTTCATTATTAATTATTAATTACACCTTGCTATTTCCAATGATGTTCGAATAAAGAATTGCTTCGAAATACAGAACGAAAAATAAATTGGAAATTGATCCCGCGTACGGCCATCGTCGATCCTAAACTCAGGGACTTGTGGATTTTAAGTTACGGCCGTACGAAATAAGTCTTTCTGGGATAGGTGTGACGGCAATGCGAAAGGACTCGTCAAGAAAAGGGGTTTTTCACGGAAATCGGTCGCTGCGTTGTCAGAATGACTGAGAAATGGGAATCCCATACTCAAGCGCATGTAAAAGTTTGATGAGTCCTGAAGGAATGGCGCCACCGGTTGCGCTCCGTTGACGACGCGACAGATATAGTCCAGGATCCTGATTAATTAAGTCTCGAGAATAAAAAGGAACGGGAAGCTCATCCTCGTGTCTCCAGCGCGACTCAATTAGCCCATAGTGCGCGTGCATAGTCCCATGGATGCAGTTTCCACTCCGCCGGAAAAGTGTAAAACATGAAGAGAGGTAATTTTTTTTTTTTGTATTTTCACTCGGGAATAAATTTTTTGCAGCTTCCCTTTTTCCTTCCTGCTTGTCTCACTATGCGCATCGCTGACTCGAAGAGTAGAATGTTTACCACTGACCTCAGATGTCCCGAGCAAATGGAAGTCCTAACGTTGAACAATTGAGCAGAATCTAGGGTAAAAAGTTCCAAGTATCGATACCACCTCAATGTATGACCAACAGGTCCTTAGGCAAGGTCTGGACTGGAGGGAAGTCGCACAATTTATATTCAAAACCTTACTCGGAAAAATATTCGCAGAACGAGAAGTTTAAACATCAACTCTTGAACGGGATTTTGACAAGTATTTTAAACGCAGATCAAATAAACTACATTTTACAACTAAAATTTACAATTTGTCTCTCATTTTAGAAAAAAACATGTGACAATAGTTTCACTATGCAGACCCTCGTAAAAATTGACAGTAGAATCTGTGTTCCAAAATACCATCGACCTACAGCCGGCTGTAAGATTTCCAATATCTTCTATAGCCGGCTACACAATTTCTTATAGCCTTTTATAGCCGATGGCGATTAAGCTACAGCCAGGCGATAAAGTGTATGCTAAACGTTACTAATTACGGATGCTAGGACTTGGTGAGTTTTTGGACTACTGCTCTCTTTTTGGGCCGTAGTATCTTGATTTATTTTGCGAGGAAAGCTCCGTACTTTTGATGGATGCCTACCATTCCTAATATATTAGAGCGCCTTCAGTTTCGTATGATACTGTGCAATACCTATGGTGTGAAATAGTTGCTTCAAGCGCCGTGGCACGCTGCGGCACGGCTTGCGGGCAGCCAGCGCGAAACGCGCATTGGCGCCTACAAACCTAACTGGGATACTTCACGCATTGCGCAATGCGTGAAGTATCCCTGTTATGTTTGTAGGCGCCAGTGCGTCGCCGCTCCGCTTTGTGTTAGGCTCTAATATTTAATCTGGCGGAGTCAGCGTTTTTCAACTCATGATTTTGAAATGTTTGCACATCCTGTATGGATTATTCTCATTTTTATTGACGAAAAAAAATATGTATTAAAGGAAAATATAATGTGTGTTTTGTAAATATTAAGGTGGTTCCGTATCAAACTTAATGATTTCCAAAGCACACGAATTTCTACACAATTTCTTATAGCCTTTTATAATCGATGGCGAATAAGCAACAGCCAGGCGATAAAATGTAAAGCCCGGCGATAGGAACTATAGCCCGGCTGTATAATTTTTTATCGCTTCGTATAGCCCGGCCGTATGATTTTCTCCGCATTCTGCAGCCAGCTAGATGATTTTCTGTAGCCTTCTTTAGCTGGCTATAAGAATTCCTATGGTATTTTGAAACGCAGCTCTTATCGCCAATTTTCACCAGGGGTTAGGTGATGTTATGGATGAGCCAAGAGTAAAAGGAATCCCTTAGTAGCAAAATGCAGTCCAAATGGAAGTCAAATTATATACAAATAACGTCATTTGTATTGCAGACATTTAATTAATGATAATAATTGCAAATTCTTTTCGAGGGTAAAACTTCAGAAGGTATACCTCAAAGTGCGGCGTTGCAGATTTCCTTTTACATTTTGTTTTTTACATGGAAAGGTACATAGGGTCATTTCTTGAAAACTTCGGTGGTTTTCTTCTGTGTGTGTGGAATATGCTGTGAAAATTTTAAGCCATGATATTGGATCGGCCTCCTTTGAAAGCGTAGATTTTGAAACACCGCAACAGGTGTATGCGATTTTTGCAATTTCACAATCGTTTTATCTTGCTTCGGAGTCGATTGTCAGGAGTGGTGTAGTGAGATATATGTTTCATCGGTGAAGTTTGAAGAGAAAATATGTTGCGTTGTTTTAATTCAAACCTTGTGTGGTGTATCATTATACACACAACAGCGATAAATATAAAAAATTGAATTATGAATGTATATCGTAAAATTATTCAAATTTTATTAATTTGGAAGGAATCAATGAAACACATTTTAAAAGGCAGTGATTCTTCAAGTTTGGACTTAATCACCACTGTCCCTTTCATGAGCGTGTGCTTTCGTATAGGTTTACTGAAATAAATTGTCGTCAAATGAAATATTACTTTTAATCCTGGATTACGTAGCTTATTTATTCGTCAGACCCTTATTTTGCTGTGTAAAAAGATATAGCGGAACCGTTAGTCTGAATTATTGAAACGCTGATTTCGAATTTTCTTGAAAGTCTTTTCCAACGATTGAAGTAATATTAAGAGGTACTTTTATGAGGAAATGAAAACTTAATTGAAATCGATGAAAGCTTAAAAATCAAATTTGCTTGAGCTCGAGCGCCCTCGAGAGCTTTCTGACATCCTTCAAGAATGAGAATGAATTTAATCTCAATAATAAATTCAATTTTCTGCAGCCATTGGACCGGGACCCGAGCGAAATTTTCAATTTAAGTTGCCAAGTTTTATAGGATTACAAATGTTTTGAGAAAAGATCGTTGTAAATGTCGAGAAAATTCTTCTCCTTATTTCTCTTTTCATCTTCTTCTTAAGTTATCTTGTTAGCAACGAATTTGTCGACGAAAAAAGTCTAATAGAGGATATTGTTATAGGGAGGATGATACCACTATTCGACCACGTGTTGCCTACACTAAAAATTGAAGGAAAACCGGCATGACATTAAGTAACCTCTTCCCGTTTGGTGAACTCGCTTTGACCCCAAATCGGTTTTTTTAGCTGTGTTAAACAATGGACCACTAGACAAGGTACGAATTTTAGCATTCTGATACATGTTTCTGAACCAAAAGTTCACGTAGAATACGATTCGCGCAACAAAAGTTATTGAAACCAACTCTTAACGAAGATATTAACGTTTTTATTCCACATCAGTTACGAGGAATTTGAACTGGCCGCTCACAAGAAACTCAAAGCTCTACGTTAGTCAAATCGCGCACTACAACGGCTTCAGCAAGCTTCTCAATCGAGCAATGTTCATTTCCCACCATGTGTTGTTCAAACTATAAGCAATTTGCTATAGCTGAGCCAAAGCGTCAAGATTGAGGTTGCCAGATTTATATATCGCTGAGACGTTGATGATAACGTTTAGCGCGCGATGTGAATGACGTAGAGCATTGAGTTTTCATGAGCGGGTGGTTTCAATTCACGCATCAAGAATCATTAAATATCTTCGTAAGGATTTAATTTCGGTAATTTTCGTTGTGCGTATCGTGTTATACGTGAAATTTTGGTCAGGAAACATGTATCAGAATGCTGAAATTCGTACCTTGTCTAGTGATCCATTAACAATTTCCTGAATGCGTCAGAAATAACGACCTATTACGCTCTTCCTAATGACGTCATTATGAAGTTGGAGGAGTGACGAGAAATTGCATCATGATAATGCCAGTTAATATCGAATTAAAATTTACAACAAAAACGCCTTGATTATCAAACTTCATTGTTCCTGTGTCATGTGGCCTTGATTTGTTCCAACCTTATCATACCAACCTAATTTGCCGTTCAAGTCATGCGATGAGTTATCAATATAAGTCCATTACTTTTTTCATCTTTTTTCGACCACGTATGGGGACTTCTTAGTTCTTAGTGAGCTCTCCTTAAAGTGGTTCAGGATGAGTTTCACTTCTTTTACTCTAACGGTTTATAGTGTCATTTTAAAATGTGTGTCAGGACAACACCGTCACAAATATATCTAGGAAGCGAGAAAAAAGAATGAGCTTTTAGGCCAGTATGTGCGGTTAAGTATGAACTTCTAGGTCACAAAATAACATACGGATTCTAAATAACATTTGGATTCGAAATAAAATCTCTGAAACGATGGTAATCACCTCGTCCCTAGTAGGTAAGTCTAACGGAGAAATAATTTTAGGTCTTTGAAATTTTTAAAGTCAAAAGAACCAGATCTAAGAGGCTTAGCAAAAAGTTAGACTGACACAAAAGTTGTTATTCTACTGTAGTGTTTAGCCGGAAAAGTTACATTTCTTTATTTCTTTACGTTCAGCCCAAAGTTGCTTTGGAGCCATTTTTGTTGTAACAGTTTTCTTGATTATTCATTAATTTATTCATTTAAAGCATCAGGTGTTGCCCTCTATTCCTACATTGATTTAGGTTGCGTATTGTAAAAATAGGCCGTTATCGAACATAGAAAGTATTGCGATACTTCGGGGTTCTAGTTTTAGAGATTAGAATAAGAGTATGAGAATAAACTAATAGGTATCTCATAAAGTCTTGTTTTATGCAGGCGGGCCACTGGACATCATTCGGGTCGTGCGTTCAATGATGCATTTAATAGGAGCTGTTATACTGCTTTTTAACATTTTTAGCAAGACAATTTTGGCAGAGAGGACGCCAAGATCAATTAAAGCCCAATTAGACTTGTTTGATGTTGTTCCAGATGTTATAAACACGTATCCTGAATCGGAATGTGAGGTTAGATTGATTTTTTTAGAGCATGTAAGATACGTAGCATTGTTCTTTTATTTTAATGAAAAAAAAGAACTTCTTCATCATACAATCATTCGTTGTCATTAATCTGAGAGTGTGATTGAGAAATACTCGTAGTTAGTAAAAAAAATAAGGCATAACGTTTCCCTCTACAAAGGAATTCATACGACTTGTCCTTCTTTATAAGAATCTTCATGGAGAAAAGAACAAGCTCCTCCCGTTTCCTTTACTACTAACATGCATGCTTGGAAGAAACAAGGAAGAAATCAGAAAGTATTCCTGTCCAGCCACAAGAGGTGAGTCATGTTGATCATTCACGAGTCATACAAGGTGTGCAAAAAGTGTGTTCATATCTCAAAAACGGGTTGCAGATATTGACATGCGCTTCGGACTAGACTTTCTCGAATGAAGGGCAAAAATTAGGGGTGGTGGGGGGGGGACTTACGACTTAGTCGTCAATAACACAAAATAATCGAATATAAATACATTGATGATTCAGTCCATTGGTCAAAAATATCAGTTCAACGACCAATAAACCCACACGCAAGTTTTCCCCCTCGTTTCAAAAATCGAATCTACTTTAAAAGTTTGTTACATACTTAGTTTCTTGCTACACCATAACAGTTTACTTGGCATATTATTTTCCACATTGATGCTCTAGATAAATCTACTTACTCCTCCTCTCCTCGAATTGCCTCGTATCGTCTTATTTAATTTTGATCGTATTTGCAGGTAATCTACAGTTGCATGAACTGTCCAGAAGATGGGAGGGTAGTTGACTTCGGGACCGAAATACATCCGATCGAAACACAAGTTGAACCGTCTGTTGAGTGGCCTGCTGATCCACATTTGAACTACGCTCTCATTTTAGTTGGTAAGTCGCTGTGACATTGTGTGAGATTAATTACGATAAGACTGTTCCGCAGCTCCTCTCCTATTTTGTCTCTCGTTCGCAACAAAACTACTAAAATTACTGAAAGAATATCGCACAAAATCAATCAATCACACTCATTCAATATATCATGTACAGGGTGTTTTCAAACCACCCAAAAAGTTTGTTTTTTTTTTTCGGTTATTTTAGGTTGCATGAAGTTGGAGACTGCGAGGTCGGACAGGGAGTTGACCCCAAAGAATCCAGATTTAAGGGCCCTGAAGCCTTCGGCCCCCCTGGAAGCGTAAACGCGGGGCGTGAATTTAAGAGTTGGGGGCTACCGTCAAAATTTTGAATTATTTTATCAAATTCAGAAATTACGGGACATTTTACGGATATTATGATCGCAAAAATACAATTTTTCTGTTGACAGATCCTGATGTTCCAAGCAAAGAAGTACCGACCATGCGAGAATGGCAGCATTGGCTTGTGGTTAATATACCGGGAATCGACTTCATGTCTGGGAAAGTATTAACTGAATATCAAGGAGCTGCACCTCCAAATGGTACAGGTAGAATTATACCTTCTTTTGGAATCGCTATCAGTTCAAAATTTCCTTGAAGGAGGATCTTCGGTGCTTATGGAGCATGATTCGATAGTCGGTCGATCAATGGACACTTTCTGCATTTCAGGACCTTATTTCTAAAGAATTTTTGAGAATCACCACACATTTCGTACGTCAGATGTTTGTACACAAAAGACTAATGGTGCATGCGCTGTCCGTTCTGTGCATGTAATGGCCGGCGCTTAGAGCATATGTTTTAGCTCTGTTCATTTTGAGGATCAACCTGGTCTTCGATCAATAATACCTCGATAGATTGGTAAAGTAAAGCAGGACAAAAATGGGTCAAAACAGGGTGGCTTTCAAAATTCATACTTTCCATTTTAAACCGAAACAAATGTGCGGAAGTGGATGTTCTCAAGTGTTCAGATAGCATTCATCTCCATTTCGTACACATACAAAGCTCATTTAAACGCCAATAGTTCAAATGAGATCCAGCGGGAGGCACCGTTTTTATCATATTTTAACTGCATATAGAAAGGAACAATGCGTGCGTTGCCATACAGAAACGCCATACATGATTGGGTAAAAAAAGAGTAAGTTTCGTTTTATTTTTGTTTCCAGGTCCTCACCGTTATGTTTTCTCTGTTTATCAGCAACCGAGAAAAAATATGACATTTGACGAGCCTAAAATAGAAAAGAGGTAAGAGGGAGAGAATCGTTTGTTCGCAGTGATAATATATTTAGTCGAAGCGTGCCGGAAGGAAAACAGACTACTTGTAAAATTTTGTGATAGACACTTACTTCCTGAAAAGAAAATTATTCTAGAAGGTGTTTCTAGCATACTATCAACATTAATTAATAGTTGGCAAGGACTTAACACCTAAAGATGAACTGAAATAACAATGTGAGACAAACGTCTTAACTGCTCCCATTTCAACAAGAAATTCCTACTCTAATATAGCCAACATCAGTATTGCATACCCTTTTCGTACTTAGGAGAGATTTTAGACTTCTGGCCGTAACTTAATATTATTGATGAATAGGATAACTGTTTACTTTAGGCTTTTTAATGACAGACTTAATTGTATTAATGAAGTTTCAAACGAATTTGGCGAGTAAATTACATTGTAACAATGTCCGTGATTACAGATTTTGTCCATTTCACCCCCTTTTTTTCTATGTAAATACAAATTTTCAGTTAACTTCAATGTTTTTATTTTTTTAGGTCTGATAAAAACCGCTCAATGTTTTCGACAAGGAGGTTCGCTGACGAGTACAAATTAGGAGATCCCATCGCTGTAAACTTCTTCATGTCCGAATACAACTACCCGCCCAGAAAACCCGGAGAATAGGGTTAATAGATCGTCCTTCTGGTCAATCTATTACATTGACGTGATAACGAGATAAACTTTGTGTGTTTGATTATGCTGAATAATTTTAGTTTCTAATTTTGTTTTTATCTTTCAGCCTATATCTTCAAAAATCGATTTTATGCATTCTATTTTGATAGATAATATACGTTTGAAGGATGTAGAGGGAATGTTCTCAGGAGAACAATAATGGCATTTATTGTCGATAAGTCGAAAAATTCATCCACTTCCATCATAATACAGAGTTATTAGACTAGACTGGTCATGCAAATAGGTAGGTATGCATTAATTAAAAAGGTACCCATATTGATGAAGAAAGGGGCATTGATCGCACCCTTTTCAGGAGGCAAAAGATAGCAAAAAGGAGGCCTTTCATTCAAACGCCGCCGAGAAGAGATATTAGTAGCGTAGATTCTGCTCGAGAGTTAGGTTACGTTGGGTTACGCAACTAAACGTACTTCTGGGTAGGGCGTGATGTATCGTGCACAATTGAAGGCGCGCCGGATCAACGTCTCGCTGATCATATCAAGCGATTGTGTTGTGTGATTTGATTTAAGTAGACTCTTGTCTTTCTTGTGAGTGGGAAATTTAAATGATTCGTCATTGCTTAAGACGTTAATATCATGGTTAGGGGTCAATTTCGGTAATTTTCAATACGCGAATTGTGTCTGAACCTCTAACGAGTAATGCGGGGGAATCCAAAATCTGATAAGCGGCATCACGTGCTGCTACATTGTAAGATGGTACACGTTAGTCCTCATTGAGATTATAAACTTGAATTCATCCGCTTTATTAAATTTTTATAGCGAAATGTTCTTTAAATCTTGGTCTTATTTTAAAATTAAAATTCCATTCTCAGCTTTTAGATCCCTGTCAATGAGAGTAACACTTCAACGGCGTGAGTCGACGATCACATATCTCGTTTGTGGCGTCTGAAAATCTCCGCCCCTATGTTATTTTTTTAAAGGAAAACAAATTGACATCATTCCTTGAAGTTTTTGCAGAATTTTCTTCGCACAGAGAAGAAAAATCACGGCAGTTTTAATGAATTGCCGTCGAGTAATTTCCCGTTTAAAAAATAAAGTATGACAGGAAGTCTACGAGGTCGCGAACCGAGTTATGTGATTGCTGACTTACACCATCGACTTGCCTAATCTTAGCAACACTTGGACGTATTTCTACCAAACAGACCTATGTGCAAGTGAGAAATATGGGGTGTGCTCGTTAGTTCTCTTTGCGTAAGTGAATGAGAATAATAAAGCGCCAGTGACGTCAGCAGCAACGAACGAGCGCCGGCACAACGGGGAGGTCGTTGGAGGGAGTCTTTAGCTCATGAGCCCTGTCCACAACGCTCTCTTGCCATGCCCGCGGCTCATGACTCCCGCATTCAGTTGACACCTAGGTCTGTTTGATAGAATGTAATATCCCGCTTTTCCAATTCTACAAAAGGAATCACGCCCACTTTTACATAGCTTCTTATGCAGCTTCGACGAGCACACCACATATTTCTCACCTCCACATAGGTCTGTTTAGTAGAAATACGTCCACTTGATAGTCGGGTTACCAGGTTTTGAATTTCCTCTCTTAATTTGTAAGACAATCGGTTTGATGATGGTAAGAGAGGGTTAATTGTATAATTGGATATGGTGGTGGGAGCACTTACCGTTTGGGAGGTGAGCGGAGGCGTTTGATCTGGAAAGAACTGCTCGGAGCGGTGCGCGGGCGGGCAGGTGGGAGGCGGGGAAGGCGTGAGATGTCACATCAGGCGCTGCGTCCCCGACGGAGGACCCCTACTCGGCGAGCCTCCATCGTCCGCTGGCTCCCTCAATTTCCGCTCCACGCCGGAAACGCAGCTCGCAAGTCCCGCAAGCGAAAACGACCGGAACCGCGCGCGCAGGATCTGCAACAGCCCAAAAACAGGATAGTGCGATGCAGCCAAAGAGAAAATTAGAGTCGGAGGGAACTCCGCTTCGTTTTAACGGAGGTTGGCAGTACTACCGTGCTAAGGAAAAACGCCGTATGAACCTTCAGGCATTGCCAAATTTCCCAGAATAAAACAAGAATCCCCTGGTAAACTTATGAATATTTTTCTTCCAATTTTTCAGATACTTTTGTTCGTAATGTAGCCTATAGTTCCTGAAAATTCCATGAAAAAATATTCATAACTTTCCTCACAAATAAACATTTTATCGAAAGAAATTTGGCAACTCTCGAATGTTCATACGGCGTTCTTCCTTAGCACGGCAGAGTAGGTCAAAAACTAAACCGAATCCACTCGAGAAAATTCGCCTGATCTGGTCACATAAGTTGACCAAATCCACTCGAGGATATTCGCCTATTGAGCCTCGATTTTGAGCCGCAACCAAAGAGAAAATAAGAGCCCGCATTGAATAGGAGGAAAGCGTGGTTGCCTGATATGGGCCTGAGCTTCCCGCGCTTGCTTTTCAGCCAATCAGACACTCGACGACCAATTTTGGAATCTTTATGGAAATAACATGGGAAATCGAAACCATGTGTTTTTTTCAATTTTTCGACAACAATGTGTTTACGGCTGACTTCTCGGAGATCTGGTGTTTTGACTGACGTGTAATACATCCCACTTTCTGGAGAAAAAAAAACCCGAATATCTTGATTTTTCAATTTTCAATTTTCTTCCACTTAAGTCAGCGGGACAGTCAAAAACATCAACTCAAGTGGGAGGAAACTGAAAATTCAAAAATTAAGATCTTTGATGTTTTTTTTAAGGAAGTGGGATGTATTACACATCAGTCGAAACGCCAGAATCCCGAGAAGTCAGCCGCAAACATATTTCTGTCAAAAAATCGACTGAATTTGAAGAAAAAACAAATGGTTTTGATTTCCCATGTTATTTTCCATAAAAATTTCAAAATTGGTCGTCGAGTGTCTGATTGGCTGAAAAGGAAGCGCGGGAAGCTCAGCCCAGTATCAAGCAAACACGCTTTCCTCCTATTCAATGCGGGCTCTTATTTTCTCTTTGGTTGCAGTTCAAAATCGAGGCTAAGAAGGCGAAAATCCTCGAGAGGATTTGGTCAACTTTTGTGACCAGATCAAGCGAATTTTCGCGAGTGGATTCGGCCAAGTTTTTGACCTACTGCCAACTTCCGTTGAAACGAAACGAAATTCCCCCCGGGCGATGGTGCGCCTGCAACATTTGGTTTTCATGCTGGTTTTTTTGGTTGGCGGCAATGACGACCACATCCAAAATTCTCGACCCACCACCCGCGATGGACTGAAAACTGGATGGATGCAAAAGTTGGTCAAAATTCATCAAACAACTGACTTTAGATCTTGACTTCAGCAGAGCCTTTTTCTTTACTTTTTTCCTTTGGTTTGCAACCCTGCCAATCTGATCTTTCGACCAAATCCAGTCGTGGAAATTCGCGTATCGGCAGGGTTGCAACCCAAGAGAGAAAATTGCTCTGCTATAGTAAAAAACTAAGCTCAGTCGCTTGATGAATTTTGGCCAAGTTTGTACCCCGAGGTGGGTCGAAAAGTGGGTGGAGAATTTTTGACGTTCAGAATTGCTGCCAGCATGAAAACCAATTGTTGGGAAGTCAAAATCTTAACCAAATTCACTCACAGAAATTCGCATGATGTGAGTAATTTTATGGGGAGAGTGCGTCCACTAAAGGATCCAATTCCGATTGGTTTAGCTGCCTAGGCTTCATGGACATCTAAGGCGAAGAGAAAATAAGAGCCCCGTTTGATGGAAGAAAAGCGGGATTTCTTCTACCTACAGCCGTGCAACGCAAAAACGCCGAAAACGCCATTGTACATTTTTTGCAAACAATGTATCATAGCAGGAAAACTTGTGTACCTTGGGACAATGTTTTTACAGAATTCTTTCGCAAATATTATCAAGAACATTACCTGAAAATTTGAGGTGCATGGGTAAAACAGTTTCTATTTTATAAAGTGTTGAGTTTTAAAGAACGGAAATCTTGATATATTTACGGCGTTCTTGCTTAGCACGGCAGGATATGAGATTGAAGACGCGATATCAAATACGTATCAGTGAGTGTGAATTTTCAGTCCAAAATGTCTCAAGGATCACACCGGTTGAACTACTAGAGATGCGACAATTAAGTTCTCAGTGAGAAAAGCTCACGTGAATATTCGATAGGAATCACCTCTATTTTGGCATGTGAGAACGGTTAACGGTTCTAAAGGACTACTTGAAATCGAAGTAGATTAAAATGCTAAAACTAGTTCTATCTACTAAAAAACGCAGCAGAATGATTGATACCAAAACAATTCATTTATTCTGGGCAGAACGAGCGAATATCGAATGACGTTGTTATTAAATCAGTCTGCGCTTTTTGGAATTACTTCTGATGTACTGGTCCTCTTCTTGAGTCCTAATGAAAAAAAGGGTAATTACCGAGCTCTTTTCCTCTCCTCTCATTTAAGTCGCTGAGTGAATCGGACCAATATCAATTCGAGAAGAATTGTATGTTGCCACGCAAATTGATATTGTTTTTCATCCACTCAATTTTTCAGATGCTTCCTTGAACTGGTTCAGAACTGGATTGGATTAGTTTATCATTTTAAAAAAAAGAAGAAAAAAAAATCAACCTAATTTTGAACATCACGACTTGCAGAATATCGATGGCAAAATGAGAAAAACGTCTTCATTGCAACGTTCAGTCAACAATCAAGTTTCAGATCGCCGATTATGTTTTTCTTTCTAATCTCAAAGAAGACTAACAAAACTTTTCCTTGCAATTCTGTGTGACATTTTTAAAATGGGTGAGAGAGAACTTTCATTAAAAAGTGTTGGTTTGTTTTCTATTAAACAAAACAAAACAACAACAAAAAAAAACCCCTGAGCGGAGACTTGCGACGTCGAAATTTGAGTTTCACTTTATCAGATTTCAGCTGTCGATATTTTATAAGAAATAAGAGCAAATAATTTCCCATCGAACTAATTCGGAGTTTTATAATGTTGTGGAAGTTGTCAAGCCTAATTTTAGTCTCATAATTTTGGTTCTGCACATTTATCGTCGTGCAAAAAAGGTTCGCCTGGGCTTGCCTCATTTCACCCTGCACGGAAAAAAAAGTGTCAGGGGTTATCCCCTAAAATTGGGGTACTACCCCAATTTGTTGGATGATATCGACATTTCTAATTAATTGTATTAGTGCCGCAACTCAAGTTAAGGTAGTACCGCAAAGAGGGAGTTTTTCTATTCTTCCATTCCGTCGTCCTCAAAAAAAAGGAGCTTTTGTATTTCTTTGGATGAAGTATCACTGTGGTGAATGTAGACGAATCTCTAAATTTTAATGAAGATTTCAAAGCAAGGATGAATATGTTACTTCAAAGCTTAAAATGTTGATATCTCTAATTATATCTTGGTTTTCCCAAATTTGTATCTTTGCACAACGCCTACTTTTCTTTCTTGCTTATAGAAACATTTTTCATGAAGAAATATACGTTGTTTTATTTCTTTTGATGATTAACGAACTCTCGAGAAATCTATACGGTCATATCATAAAATCTAGAGACACGCAATGCATATGAAATCAAATCATTCTTTCGTGTATATTAGATAGTGAGGCTGATATAATAGACATGAAACACCTTGCTTCTTTCATTTCGTATAGAATAAATGAGGTTCATAAAAAAATCGAAGTAAATATTCAGTAATTTGGAGTTTATGAAGTGGGGGAAAGGGTATTTTAAGTACCTGGTTAAAAAATTGATCGACTAAACAATCATCAATATTTGCAGAAGTCTTTCTCACGATTATTCCATAGAAAAAGTTGTCAAAGGTTATAATATAATTACCGTCTTATAATTTTTATCTGAACACGAACAAATATACAACGATTCCAAGGTGACAGATTAAAGAAACTCAACGGAACCCAAATTTCAGCTACCTATGATACGTTTGTTAAATTCAATTCATTTCGTTTAAGACTTTAATTAGTTACTTAACCCCTCCTGTTGACTTCACATATCATGCTCTCAAGTATCTCAACCGAAATACCCCTCGATAAAATAATTGCACCTCCAATTTATATTAAAAAAAATAATTATATCATTAGAAGGATTTACTTATTTCTTTATCCATCCATAACTTTGATGTTTTAATGCATGTAATTTGGCCAGTGAAGAGGCATATGATAAAGAAATTCAAGATTATTTTGACATGTGTGTTTTTTCAGAATGAAAATGTCGTATTATTTTCATAATTGGAGCTTCTCGAGGAACCGGAAACCTACAACTTTAATGGAGATAGGAGCCTTAATATTAATTAAAACTTGTAGCGCAAAAAAATATTTCAAACAAAAATCTAACGAACCAAGTGAAGTTCGTCTGAAGATAATTAAATATGACCAATGAGAGAGGTTGATAATGAACAATGGAGAAAAGCAACTATGTCTCCTACCTCTCCGGGATCAAACGATTTTATGTGGCTCTTTTGCGAAACTATGTTCACCTGTATATCGCTATTTTCCAAGAATCGCGGAGATACTATCCAAAGAGATCCCGACGAACCGGTTTTCACGCCCCGACTCTATCCCAAAAGAACGGATGCACCTTTAAGCAACCTCGCGGTTCACAGGGAGGTAAAAGTCACCGGAAAAATGAAATTTCACTCGTATTTACACCCCAGAGCGAATCATCCCTCGCGACAGTGATACGATTATGAGCGCGGAAAGGATAGCGGAACGAACGGGGAGGGTTCACTTCTGGTTTCCTAGCGGGTAGGCACCCGGCAACACTCACGCGTGACACCGGCAGCGGAACGACATGAGATGAAGACCGAGAGCCGTGCAACGACCGACTGTGATGAGGTGACGACAGGGCAGGCTGGCCGTACCGCAGCGGGGGTGGTCTGGCGGTCCCGGCTGGTTCCCAACTTCCCGCTATCGACCAATTCCAGCAGGGGGAGCGGCTTTCGAGCCCGCCGCAGTCCTTCCCGTCCAATTGTTATGTACCGGGACCCTGTGTCGCAATACCTTCAGTTGTCATTTTTACGCCCTCCTCCCCCCGCCCCGCTCTCGATCTTTCTGCAAATTCAATCCGAGAGGGTAATGGAGCTTATTCGGGAGGGGGCCGTTTGACGTCATCATCCAGGGGGCAGAATGCAGACGTTTTTCAATTGCTCGAATCTGAAGGGAATTGGCGGGCCACTTCAGCCCCGATACCGTCGCCCTCCTCACAGAAGAGAGTACCTCCGCTGAGCCCTATCGCCTCCAACACCCCGTGCTTCCCGGGTACCATGTAAAAATGGAACTGCGCCCTTCGACGATATCTTCGGGTGACGTCACTGCGCCGCGGCGCCAGTAGGCCACGTTCCCTGCCGTGTTTCCCGCAGCCCGACGTTGCCAGATCGCCGGTGAAATAATACGCTTTTCGATCGGGAGGCCGACGGCTTTGGGCCGTCTGGCGACCGCTGCCATCCTCACTGCAGATGACTTCTCCAGCCCTTCGCGCCCTGGCCTGGTTCTTTTGGAGCCTCCCTTCTTCACCCCCTCCGATTTTTATTTCCGCTTGCGTCGTTGGGTTGTCATCTAATTGCGTCCGCAAGTTGAGCGACGTCTCCCGTAGCCTTTTGTCGGGGCTCTTAAAAGCTCACGTGTAATAATTTCTCATTTTCCCAGTATTTTACCGAGTTGAGAGTTAGGGACGGTTCAAGTATTACCAAAACTGCTTATGCTCTTCTCCTTAAGGAGGCCTCGTACCATTTACATTTGAGAGGACATTTTGGACGAATCTCGAGGAAAATCCGACGCAATTAAACTTGCGGGGCAAAAAATATATATTACAAAAGAAAAAATCTGATTTTTTTGATAAACCGCAGGGTAAGTAGGGACAAATCTGAGAATTTGCGATACTTGTAATTATTTTTTTTTTTTTTTAACGCTATGTGGTAAATCATCTTGGAATGGTAAATCATTGGAATCTCTCGTATTAAGGGTCAATTTTCAGAGATAAACTGTCATATTGTACTCGATTTCTGCAAAATTATGCGCGTGATGATGCTACTTTAAATGCGTCCTTCAACATTCCTGAATCATAAGATTAACATGAAAGGCTTCACTAAAGAAGGAAGCTGTTTGGTACGGCCACTAAGCCCATTTGCGTATCCAAGAGAGGGCATGGGAGGCGTGCACTCCCCCGTTCGTCTGAAAAAAAAAGGAGGAGGAAAAGAGGAAGAAAAAAGGAAGAAGGAACAGAAGAAAGAAGAAGGGAAGACGCTCAGATTTGGTAATTATTCATGACGAAATCAACTCAAGCTGCATATTAGATGCTTTAAGATTTCGACAATTTTCTAGGGAAAGCCCTCGGAACCCCCCCCCCCTTGTATGGAACCGCGTATGATTAAGCCATCAGTGGTTGTGTGATAACAATTGGGATCCAATATTAATCAATTTTGCGCATAAGAAGAAGCCTGAGACGGCCAAAAACATCCTGTTATATACATTCTTTGATTGGTTTTAAAAATTTAGCATTTTTCACCTATATTTTACTTTTTATTTTGTCGTGTTCCTTTTTTTCAGACTATGTACATATTTTGAAAACCGTCTCAAGCAAATGCAGCCTCATTAGTGGACACCAAAGTTATTTAAATTGAAAAAAGAGAGAAAGTCTTGCCTTTGCACGCAAGTTGTTTATTAAGTTTAGTTTTGATAACAACTGATATCAACTCGATTAGCTATGTATTTAATAACTACGCACTTCTTGGCTTTTAACCTTTTCGCTTGCTCAATTGTTCCTGTTTCAAGTGTAATGCATTGTGATATTTCATCTACTACCCGTGTTTTTACTGTGTAATTTTGTGTTTTAAGTGCTGAGGATAGACTTGATATCCGAATTGTGCATCCACTAAACTTTTAATAAACTACATGCGAGCAAAGGCAAGACTTGCTCTTTTTTTTAAAATTTATTTAATTACCTAGTGAAGACGCAAAATGCGATACCTCAATTACCAAAGTTATCTTTCTCGGATTAAAGGTATCGTCAAATAATGAATGAATCCATATTTTTGGGGGGATGAAACCCTTATCTACGAGACTGCCCCGAACGTCTTAAATCTCCCTCTGCCCTATTGAGAGCGAGCACTTTTCCAAGCGAAAGATTTGCATATCCATTCATCGTGCCTTCGATGACTCACTGTGTATGTTCTATTAGAGTGAGGGAGCCATCCCAGTTGAGAGAAAACACTTTTTCGGGTCGATGGCATTACGCTTGCTGAATACTAAACCAAGGCATCAACAGAGTCTCTAAATTGAGCGGAAAAGAACAGGGTCGGTTTTTTCTCCTTGGGAAGTGTATTTCGCTCGCCCTGCAATAAACCAACGGACAGCGACGCAAAAACTTACACCTCGCCGCGGGTTATTTTCTCTTAATTTTTCAGAGCTTAGCGTCAAATTTGATACTAAGCGCCTCAGGTTTTTTTCTCTGGTTTCCGGAAAGTGAGTCGACTGAGAAAATCTCGATGCCCTGACTCAAAACTGTTCCCTGTATTGCAATATCTTGCTCGAACTAATGTTTATCCTTGGCATAACTACTGGAGTACCTACTAAAATTAGATGAAAAAATTAGAAAAGATTATGTGAACTTTATTACAACGAGATGAGCCGCGCATCATCATCTCCCGAAACTAAATATTTCTTTTTACTTTCCTTATCTTTAAGCATATCAAAATTTAAACAAGAGTGTTTAATTAGACAGTTTTCTTGAGAAAACTCGAAATAAACCTCACAATTTTCTCATCATTTCATCATCATCTCCCGAAACTACACCGAAAAAAAAATGAAGTTGATTTAACATTCCGAATGTAAAAAGTGTGCGAGAACTTACAAAATGTTGAATTACCCGCTACAGCAGTTACTGTAGCAATGCCAAGATGTAAAACTAACTGCTGTGGCGGGTAATTCAGCATTTGATAAGTTCTCATACACTTTTTTCACATCCAAAAAGTTAAATCAACTTCACTTTTTTTTCGGTGTAAATATTCATTTTTACTTAACAATTACTTTACTTTTTTCACTTCACTTCTTTTTTCTTTAACACAGTATGAACCCCACAATTTCCTCATCATTTCATCATCATCTCCCGAGACTAAATATTTCTTTTTACTTTCCTTTTCTTTAAACCATGTCAAATTTAAACAAAAGTGTTTAATTAGACAGTTGTCTTGAGAAAACACAGTATGAACCCCGCGATTTTTTTAAAAGTTCTTTGTAAATATCTTTAGTTGCAGTACATTTGACGTATTTTGCATGATTTTCTAATGAGGGCCCATGTCATGTGATCCTACAATTTCAACCATATCTATTAATTCACTAAACTAATTAGTTATAACCAAGAAAACATAGATATAATTGAACTTAAGATGTTCATTTGTAGCGATAAGGAAGTATTCAATTTGACACTTAGTAGTTGTGATGACCAAGCTTATTTGTACCGATGAAATGCCTTAAGTTATGATAACCAGATCAATTTCATCCTATATAACAAGGGCACTTCCAACACAATGAGACTCTTCCTAGGGGCAACTAGATACGATGCAAGGGAAACTGTTTTCTCGGGCGCAATTAGTCAGATTTTCCTAAGCACAATACCATTGTACAGGATAAGAATTGAAACATCACATAGCAGGTTATCAAATTGTCACGTGTTAAAAAATTTCATCACGACAAGGTAATTTTCGTTGGTTTGACTGAAATTTTTTCGGATTTATTAATAGCTCTCTTGATGCGAGGAGCACTTTTTGCTAGGCAACAAGAAACTGCTGAGGAATCGGTTTCCTTCGTTCAAAGTAACCGCAGGTTACTCTGACCTCTAGGTATGAAAAAAAGGTTTTGCTGAACTGGACTGCATTTTGCAATCTGGAGCTATAAATTATTTCTCATCTGAAAAAACACGTAAGTGCATAGGGAAACTAACGGCACATGCGTTGTTTTTAAACCAGGCCGGAATTTATAGTTCCTAATTGCACAATGTAGTCCAATTAATGTACTTTTGTTGCTCCCGATGTCACTCAGAGGTTGCGATTTGCGAGTGGCAAGCGCGCTGCACTATCACCATTTCGACCCTGGTGGTTCGCGACTGAATTTTAACGAGATTGAAAATTTTTAAATCGAAGATTTGGTCAATGCAACCCCCCAAAAAAGACTAACCAAAAACTATCATTCGTGCGTTTAGGTTATTTTGTAAGTTACATCCCATATTAACACAAAATGTCTGTTATTTTTTCTTAATGGGTAAAAATTACTTTTTCGTAGTGACGTGAGAGGAGGGATATCGATAAGGGTAGTTTGTAAACTGGTAAAATTTGCTAAACTTCATATGCGCTTTTTTGTTCCTTGGAGGTCTATATTCTACGAAATACATCGTGATTTGGTTATTTTCCGTCTCTTTTCGAGTCTGATACTGCATGGCCTAAACATGGGTCTGAGGGCGGATTTGGCGAGAAATGCGGGTTTCCGGCATTCGACCGCAAACCCCAAAACCCGCAAGTTGCGTCAAAATCGCCCTACAGACCCTTCTTTGGGCCAGTTTTGGCTCCGAAAAGGAATATAAAGTGACCAGATCACGATACTTTCCGTAAAATTTAGACCTTCAATGAGAAAAAATCGCTGTGCACAGATTTGGGGGACGCCGGGCGGACGGACACACATTTTTTCAAGTATGGTTATTTTGACTCCAAGGACCTTAAACGTCTATAAATGATGAAATTTCAACTTTTTTCCCCCCTTGGAGGATAACAGTACTTCCTCTACCATTGGGGAGCGAGAAAGTAAAAAATCGTGGAGTTGAGAAAATTCAGAGTGGCCCCAAAGACGGTTCTTATCGCACTGAAAAAAAATTCTCGGCGTTTTTACCAAGGTCCGTTGGTACCTTTACCATCTCTTTTTTTTTACCAATTATTGGTAATTTTACCAAGACAGACTGGTAAGCTTACCTAAAAACCGGTATTTTTACTGTTTTTCTCAGGTAAGAATACCACTTTTATTGGTAATCAATTCCCAGTAACTTTGCCATTCTATCTCGGTAATTCTACCACAGTCGATAAAAAATATTGGCGTCTTTACCGGGGTCCAGTAAAATTACCGAGAAAGTCGATAATTTTCTCGGTAAAATTACCAATTCCATAAATGGTAATTTTACCAAGAAAAAACTGGGATCAAATAGAACCCTGAATTCTTGGTAATTTTACCCTTTTCTCGGTAAATACACCGAGATTTTTTTTTTCAGTGCGATGCCTCTCCTTTTCATTGATTTAATTTGGCGGTTTTTCCTGAGTTGAATGCTTTTCAAAACAAATTTGATTGAGTGAGTGTGGGCGTGAATGGGCTACCTGGGAGTACTGGCCGGGCGGAGCTGGTGGTTGAAAGGGTTTCAGGGTTTCAGGGTGGGTCAGGGCGAGCACGCGGTTTCGACGGAAACACGCAGAGCACTCGAGAGCGGATCACAGATTCACAGACACGGCGCGGCGGCGGCGGCGGTCCCGGAAAGCAAACTAAACTCAGCTCAAGAGTGAACGGCTCCAAATCCAAGTCCACGTCCTCTCACGCCGTGCATCCCCCCCAGTCCCCCCCCCCCACCCCCCCCCCCCACCGGGGAGTCGCACCAACACGCACTCGCGTAGTCTAGGTCAACCGAAGAAACATTACAGGGATTCTCCGCGAAGTTGGCATAGGATAGTAAGTAGCTTTTCTGTGCTTCGGATTAGGTTTGGAATCTACACTGGAAAAAAAAAACACATTGGATCTAGAGTCCAGACTCTTAAAAACATCGACAAGAAAAAATACTCTTGATTCAATCGGATTTTTGCTTAAATTAAGAACCAAGCCTCTTAATTTGAGCGGATTTTCTTTCGATTTAAGCAAAAGTCCGATTGAATCAAGAGTATTTTTTCCTATCGATGTTTTTAAGAGTCTGGACTCTAGATCCAATGTATTTTTATTCCAGTGTACCCTACATCTAGTCTGGGTCTAAGGAATCGGCATAAGATGATGCAGGATTAGGTCCCAACTAGAGTCCCTTTGTACAGGGTGTTTCAAATCACCGGTACCAGGTTTTTTTCTTGGATATTTTAGGTCTTATGAAATTAGGGACCGCGATTTGGAGTAGAGAATCGCGACCCCAAGAAATCCAAATTTCATGGTGCCGAGACCTCCCGGCCCACTCAGGAAGGGGAATGTAAAAGGAGAGATCATCAAAGTTGGGGTTACCTTCAGAATTTTTAAAAAATTCCGTCAAATTCAGAGAGTCCAAAAATTTACTCCAAACTGATACCAAGAAATCCAAATTAGACCACTTTTGTTCTATTGACCCATAAATGTGGAGAACACAGCCCTAAGCCCTTCTCCCCAAAATACGAAATCGCAGAATTGACGTAGAGGCTAAGGTTAGACGTCCTCCAGGGTAACTGACCACTAGGAATTTGACTTTGGCAGTCCTGACCCCCTCCCCTGAAACATTGTCTAATGTGCTGCAGGGGGCCATAGGAAAATTTACAAAATTGCAGACCCTCGGTATTTTATCAGAAAATGTTTGCCGGGACTTCAAGACTGTCAAATTCAAATCCCTGGTGGTTGTGCAGTCTTCAACCTCATCCGTCTTGAAATAACCTAGAAAAAAACCTGGTAGGTACGGGTGGTCAGAAACACTCTACGTGTTCTAGTGGTTTCACTAGTGAAGATTGAATTTTTGCTGCAATGCAGTGAGCAGAGGAGGAAAAATAGATATGACTGAAATAAAGTCGATTCATCAATTTTGACATTCAATGTGAATGTTCATGGAAGCCTCAAAACGCAGGTCTTTCCGTTGTCGGATCAACTCTTCTATTTTCTTTCTCCAACGACAAGAGTCTGGGCTACAAGGCTTACAGGAAAATGTATTTCCACCTCGTTATCAATCCTTGAGGGAAATGTATGAATCTGCAACAACTGAGGCATGAAATCAACCATTTTCAGGTATGATCATCATGGAAAAATCAAACTTTAGACGGCCCGTAACAGACAACACTTAACGGATTATAGACTCTGAGTTTGGCTGGAACCTTCCTTAATCTTATTTCTAGGCAAGCAGTATTATATCCGTCAGCTGTGATAACCCTCTTTGAGTTGATTCAGAGGATAAATAAGCTGGCGAGACCTTAAAACACATTTGAAGTGCTGAGGTAGACCGTAACATGACACTTGCATCACTGGTGATAAAAGCAATAAACAAATTAACAAACCAAAATGGAAAGTTTTCTTAGGCTTCCTGGGATTTGAAAGCCTCAATAATTTCGAACAGCACAGTGCTAATGAAACTATGAGGAGGGAAACATTAAATATTAATGAGAACTTACAGATACTTTGAGAGTTCACCTTGAGGCCAACTTGTGAACTTGGGGATTGCACGAGAAAACACACCGGATTGAATATTCTTTGAGGGGATGTGGTTAAGGTAGATAACTGAAAACTACTTCGCACCGAAATAAACAATCAAGAACCTCGAGTAACTTGAAATATGCAAAGGACTTACTTATTCACAACCTCACTAGAGGATGAGTAGCCACGTTTGTTTACAACTTGGTTATCAAAATAATGCGAATGTAAACAAGGCGAAACTTCGCTCCCATTGGTTCCCGCCAATTCCAGTGGCGCGCGCGGCAAAATATATAAATTGACGCGGTAACTTTCAAATTAGCGGGGACCACTCCAGTTGCGCGCACTATGGAAAGCGACGTGTACCAGGTTTTTTTCTCGGTTCAATTCGATTGTACTAGGTCAGGGATCCTGACCAGGGATCAGAGAGAAGAGAGAATCCATCTCGAGGAATTACAATTTCATGTCCCGACAGCCCCCCCCCCCCCCNNAACGCGCCCTCTACAAATTTCTATTTGGTCGCGAAGTGACGTACATTCTAAGGAAAAAATTTTTACCTAGGATAATCGACTACAAGGATTCCGAATTTCAAGGTCTCGAAGCCCCTCCAGCCCCCTTCGGAAATAAACCTGGGTGGGGGGGGGCCTCAATTTTAAAAGTCAAAGCTCTTTTCCGAATAGCAAATTGACCTCAAATTAGAGAGGACAACAAAATTAAACCTTAAGTGACCTATAAGAAATAAGAAACACTATACAAATTTACCCATTCAACACCTTAAAGTCGGTACATATACTCTTTAGGGGATCATATTTAGGCCTATGGTGGGCCGATTTTGGATTTTTAGGCGCCAATGTATAACAAAATCTCCTGTACTTTCCAAAACTGATGCAATTGAATGGCAATTCGGTCGGGAACCCAGACTTTTAGGATTATAATCTCCCCTTTATCTCCCGAGGGTAGCGGGGGGAGGGAGGGGGGGAGTCGTAGCCACGGAAATCTGATTTCTTGAGGTCAATTCCCTATTTAACCTTGCGGTCCCTGACTCCGCACGACTTAAAGCAACCGAGAAAAAAGCTTTGAAAGGGTGGTCTGTACCGCCCTGTGTGTTTAAGTCACGGGGCTCTTTCTAGAAACCTAGTAACATGTACTAAAAAAAATTACTATTTTTGGCTGAATTCAACTATTCTCGTTTTCGTAATTTTGTATTTTTTCCAGAAATAAGCACTTTTCAGAACAAATGATTCATCGAAAGCTCAACTTGGCTCGAAGCTCGAAATTCCATCATGCACCACTTTTCTGAAAAATCGATTTATTTTCCTACAAACGTGCCCTGCTTGCGGGAGGATTCCGTTTCTCCGGAAAACCCTGATGTGATGAACTTTTTATAGAATTTTTTCTGAACTGCATTCTAAAAAAACAAATGAATGGGAATCAAGCAGATAATCACTTGCATTATGACCTAATCCAAATTTTGCGGAACCATTTGATTCATCTCATAATGGAACCAGTGGCGTGGCGTGAATTGCGATGTATCGATTGTTATGCCATTTAAACCTATGTAAAAGGATCGATAAACAGGGTGTTCGCAGCGAACACCTTAATAATCGATTCTTTACCATACGTTTAAATGGCATAATAATCGATGCATCGCAATTCATGCCACGCCACTGTATGGAACGTTTACTTTCCCTGTTTGAATTTTCTAATCTATGCTTCGTCTGGTTTCAAATCAAGCGCCGATTTTGGTGACTATCTTGTTGTTCACTTCCTCTCGAAAAAAGTAGACTCAAGACTTTTCATTCGCTTTGAGTCATATGCACATGCATTTCTGTGCATTTTATTATTCAGTTGTCTTACTGGAGGGAGACACCGGGACAGTAAATAAAGAAAAACAGGAGCTTGCAATTGGATGTATTTCTGCCAACGGAACTATGTGCATTATGACGTGAGCCCTATTATGCATACATTCTCATGGGTCAAAGAGCTCACGTCTCAAGGTATAGAGTTCCGTTCGGCATAAATACGTCCAATTTTGCATATGAGAAAGCGGAAGTGCTGAAGTATCTACAACATAGACACCCGTGCAATTTATCATTTCCAATTTCCGCTCTCCCATCGAGCCGTTAGATCTTCGTATCGATGCCAAGAGTCGAAAGCAGAGCAGAGTCGAGAGTTTAAGTGGTATATTACAATATTTCAACGACGTTCTAGAAGCGAAAAATTGGCTCGCTGCTGCGTTGCAAAAAAGTATATTTTACCAATACCTTTGGATAGTCTTCGCTGCTAATAAATCACGGAAACAGCCTTTGCTCCTTTGAAGCAACTTCAAGAGGTATATATGGACTGACAAAGACGCACAGGAAAAAACATCAGAAAGTCAGATGCGAGATTTTCGACTCAGAGAATCGAACGCCGGAATGAGCATACCGGGTGTCCGTAAAGTAACTGAAAAGTGGGTATAATTTTTGAACAAAAAAAGATAGAAGGAAAGATAGAGGTTTGTGGCATTCTTCATCATCCAGAGGGGGAAATTTTTCGATGGAGGGTTTTTCTTGGTGGACCCCCCTGGGGGGCCCCAATGGGGGGCAACTTTCAAAATTCAAATAGCAACCCCCATTTTTTTAGACATGGTTAAAAAGAACTTAAAAAGACAAGAAAAATGACGCAAATAAAATTAAAATCGGTTCACTCGTTCAAAAGTTACAGCCGGTCAAAATTTTAAATTGGCCACTTTTCAAAAAATCACCGTTGAGCTCCCAATTACCGAAAAAACAAAAACAAACCTGGAATGAAAAGTTTGAAAAGTGCCTTTTAAGGCAAGGGAAAACAACTGACGTTGTCACAAGTTTGGATGGCATTGTTTCAAAATAAAATTTCGGAAAATTCAACATGGCGGCAAATTTGAGGAAACGCGAATAATGAAAATTCCAGAAACTGGAATCTTTCAAATACCCTCTAGTTTAAGGAAATCAATGGTATCAACTTTTTTTCCTTTATTTGGCGAAGTAAGAGCAATTATTTGCTGACTTTAAAGTTGTCAAGCGGGACGCCTTCAATCGTTGGAGTATGCGACATCACATGCACAGGATTAAGTGTGCTGTCAAAAAATGAAGCCGATGTGAAAAAGCGCTCCTCCTTTGGGATGCTGTAGTAATGTTCAAGGTCCTCATCCTCAAAAAAGAAGAAAAGAAAAATTGAGCAGTTTTTTTTATTATTATTATTTTTTAAAGTGGAAGTTCTTATACCTGATGCTCTGATATTCCGTCAAATGTTCAAAGTGATCTTCATTTTGCTGCAAACAATAGTAAATTTACAATAGTAATTGCCAACTAAATCAGAACGCAGTATGATCAAGAGAACTTAGCATACTGATTTCAGATTCGTAAATAGTGTTACCGATCAGATATTGCATCAGATATTACCTAAAATATCGGTTCCTCAAATCGTGAGGTTGAGGCTGTCAATAAGATAATCTCAACTCAGATAATAATCAAGAGTAGAACGGCGTTTTCGGAATTAAGCGTAGCAGATATCCTTCTTGCCAACTTGGAGTGCCAGGAATTAGAGAATCACAATTATTCTTGCGTTTTCAATTTTCAGATAGAGAAATGTCAAAAATGTCAACCGCCCCTACCCCATCAGGATATATCATGTTTTTTTTGGCTCACCTAGTTTGTGGGTAAAAATTGCTTAATTTCTCTTTTCTTCTTTTTTGAGGATGAGGACCTTGAACATTTCTAAAGCATCCCAAAGGAGGAGCGCTTTTTTACAACGGCTTCATTTTTTGACAGCACACTTAATCCTGTGCATGTGATGTCGCATACTCCAACGATTGAAGGCGTCCCGCTTGACAACTTTAAAGTCAGCAAATAATTGCTTTTACTTCGCCAAATAAAGGAATAAAAGTTGATACCATTGATTTCCTTAAACTAGAGGGTATTTGAAAGATTCCAGTTTCTGGAATTTTCATTATTCGCGTTTCCTCAAATTTGCCGCCATGTTGAATTTTCCGAAATTTTATTTTGAAACAATGCCATCCAAACTTGTGACAACGTCAGTTGTTTTTCCTTTGCCTTAAAAGGCACTTTTCAAACTTTTCATTCCAGGTTTGTTTTTGTTTTTTCGGTAATTGGGAGCTCAACGGTGATTTTTTGAAAAGTGGCCAATTTAAAATTTTGACCGGCTGTAACTTTTGAACGAGTGAACCGATTTTAATTTTATTTGCGTCATTTTTCTTGTCTTTTTAAGTTCTTTTTAACCATGTCTAAAAAAATGGGGGTTGCTATTTGAATTTTGAAAGTTGCCCCCCCTTGGGGCCCCCCAGGGGGGTCCACCAAGAAAAACCCCCCATCGAAAAATTTCCCCCTCTGGATGATGAAGAATGCCACAAACCGCGACCTTCTATCTTTTTTTGTTCAAAAATTATACCCACTTTTCAGTTACTTTACGGACACCCGGTACATGCATACACTGGAGTTCACATACGGTAGTAATAAATCTCAATACGCTGATTTCGAACAAAGTTATTGAGAGTTGAGTTGCACTCAATCATCGAACAAGTGCATTCTTCGAGAAAAAAGTATCCAAAACCTTTTTCTTTTTCGAAGACGAGGAATGGCATGATATATTTGCACACGTGAGAGAGAATGCTCATAACTGCAGGTGAGGACCTTCCGGAATCTTACGAATAAGTTTTTTATTACGATCCGCAAATGCCATTGAAGTGTTGTTTTTCCGTGTTTTGAGTGTATGTATGTGGATATTATATGTAACATTTATTTCATAATATATTGTATATGTTCATGTGGGTATTTGATTTGCCGTATTTTTAGACGAATATTGAAAATCTCATTCTGTTAAACATTTTGGAGTGAAATTCTGTGGCGGAGTTTACATATCGCCCAAGATCTCTAAGTGTTATGAATGCGGGACGGAATCTGTTCTCCTTGAGGTTAAGGATCGACTTAAACAATTGAGGAGCGGAATTTTCTCTTTTTGTGGAGTGTCAGACGCTTTTATGATGCTATAATTTTACATCGCATCCATTTGACTATAAATTTTTGGGCGCAAAATAGACTTCAGCACCGACCTTCACTCCTCGAATTTTAACAGTGCAGCAGCGGAATATGCTGTACGTGGCTATTCAAGAGATGTTCTTATATGTTTTTTCAGCATCTGAACACCTCTTCTCCCCCTTGCATTTTCTACAATCTAGTCATTATAACGCCAATACCCATGCATTTTTCAACAACGTCCCGCAATTTAAAGATGCCCACTTTAATGCCATTGGGGTATTAGCAAATGTTAGAGAGCAATATAACTTTCTAATGGCAACTTGAAATTGTCGTGAGCTAAAAGCCAAAGCCGACGTGGTTAGAATGTTTATGAGCTTCAACCTTCTGAGATGCGTTGTTTTTGTCTGAGCTCTGGTCTCGTGTTGAACTTTCCTAGAGCAGTCGCGTAAATTTTGAGACGGCAAATTTTTGCGACTTAAATAAACGTAAAATATTACAGCGGAAAAATTAACAAGGGAGAGAAAGTCTTGAAATGGTTGGGTGCGTGCAATATTAATTAAGAAAAGAGCAACGTTTTCGAGATGGACGCAAAACAACGCTGCCAAATGAGCCTGCTCCACTTTTTTTATGAGGATTTTTCCGCGAATTGAAGAATGATACTTCAAAACCTAGTAAGCGTCATCAGGTCACAAAGATTGCTTACGATGTGATGTTCCTTTTTGAGAAAAACTGGCATGTGTTTGCTCTAAGGACTTTTGATTGGAAAATTTTCTATAAATTTTGGCCTTATTTTTACGACAAGAATTGTGAGTATCGGGGCCTTTGGTCTCACGACAAAAATAAAGGGAAACAATTGCACAATCTTAGCAACACTTAATGGCGCTAACCCTGCTGGTTATAATGAAGGTTTAAAATATGACATTTTTTTTTTAACATAGGGTGTGCCAACGAAGTTGTCGCTTTTGAAGGAGTCAAATAAGACCTTTATTTACGAGGGACGAAGAGGAGGGAAGGGGGTCCCGTGGTTCGTACATCCGGATTTTCTCCATCTTGCACACCCACAAAAAATTCTCTACGCATCTCTTTGAGTTTTATGAATACCTTGGGGGGGGGGGGATAACCCTAGCTTTACCAGCCGTGTGTACATACACGGATTACTAACCGAGGCCCTTACTGACCCATATTTAAAATACACATACTTTACAGGTTTTACTATATTGTTTTCATTTCTCTGGGGCTCTTAACCACAGGGATACACTTCCACCTTTCTCCTGATAGGTATACAGTCCCAATTCAATAGCTCACTTTACAAAAAGTGTATCGGGGTAATGCGTGACTTTTGGATCACACAGAATCACAGTATATAATAGACTTTCGATAACGATAAATCACGTTTACTTTCGTAAAACTTTGTTTCCATTCATATGA